TACAGAATTCTCAGAGTCCAATACAACGTCATCCCGTAGCAGGCCCAAGTCACGCGCTGCCTGAACATCCGATGCATCAACCACGAAGCGTGCTTGACCGTACTTGGACAACGGTGGAGGTTCGTAGCTTGTGGCCGGAGAAGTCATTTCTAATGTGAAGAACGAAGTAAAAGACAAAATAACTTCGTATGATATATAAAAAACCGAAGGAACTGAAGATAAGTAAGAAATAAACTATTAATAGTAAATGTTGTTGGAAAAGTGGTTTGTAAATTAAATTATTAGCTGCGAACTTAAGTGTACTGGTTTTTTGTTCAATAACTGTCTGGAAATATGTACTGGATCGGTAGCTATATCCCAGAGTTATTTGTACAGACTGGAAGAAAACAGTACTTTGTACTGTTTTCTGGAAATTCCTCACGGGATGGGATTTTGTTCGCAATCACCACGAACAAATCCCGTCCACATGTATTACGATATCATCCTGACAATTCATACCTTGCTCCACCAAATGCATCGTACACGTGGTATGCACGTGGTTATTACTAATAACGAGCATTGTGCCATCAAGCTTCATTTTGTTGAAGTCTAGTTCGATATTATAAACGGCTTTCAAGGTTGACTGAACGGATTAGGGTCATATATGGATACGACCTTATCGATTATATGAGTGTATAAGGTAAGCTGTGTTGAAGCACACACGCATTGATGTTTTTTTGGCGGTATGCCTGCATCAGTACATCTACGCTTCATTGTGAATACCAGTGATAGGATTTGACGATGATTGCGTACGCAGCTGCACTGTTCCGTTCAGCCTCATCCGCCCGCAAACAGGATACATGCACTGCAGAAACACCACTTGATAATTTTATGTTTGCACAATTAGACGATTCCAGCGCTCTCAACAGACTATTGGGAGACGCTGCTACCACCAAAACGAGGATATACATTCGTTGTGGATTGGTATATTTACATAATTTCCACAAAATTTGCTTTTGAGCCAGACTGCTTCTGGAGGGTTAGGTTCAAGGCTTGAATCCGAGAAAAACAGCCAAACGACAGTTTGATTTCTCTGAAGCCGGTCAAAGGCTTGTTCTTTCAGCTCCATGGGCTGGCTTACAATGTGTAGAGCAATATAGCGAAGGCCTAAACACCCGAAATGGCTTCGTTTTGACTTAGCTGGAGGTTTTTGTGTGTTCTCACCCTGTCTTGTTTAAGATTTGAGAGTTATGACACCCGTCCTCGGAAGGTGATATATAATGGCTAAAATTCGGTGGTAGCGACATCGTCCAAGACTATTGGGGAGAGTAGGATGACGCATCCCGGATGATGGAGGAGGGGGTACCCAGAAGGAGATACTGTAGTCTAGTTTATATAGACATGATCAAGTTAAAAAGCCGTCTTTCTGTCTACTAACCCTGGAAAATATAAACGATAAGGCCCATTAGCTATGTGTAACCGGTCTACTAGTTGTACGTACAGGATACTGCCCAAGTAGTCGCAAATACAGCTCCAGTATAGTATTCCAAGTACCGTTTTGCCCAAAATCTAGCTAGTTACAGTTACTATCCTCTAAGTAGGTAATTCAGCAAATCACTCAAGTCAATGTCGTAACTATGTAGGATAGTACACTTTCTGAAGCTGAGATAACAGATGAACATGTCTAAGATGAGCTCGTATATCGTGGTATACTGTCATATTGGATCGGAGAAGTAAAAGTCGTCGACAAACCGACTTTGCGCCCCAACGTATACACAATCCGGCTTATATTTACCCAAACATAAATATCGTCAGAGCAAGCGAATCGCTCTATCATTTTGCAACTGCATACATTTTATCTTTATTTCAGTAGAGAGTATCGCGCAGATCCGGATGACTTCCTGTCTAGAGCGAATGTTTATAAATGAGAGATGAATAGAGAGACTTTCGACGGTATCTAAGCTGCTCCTACAGACTCCTTCGAGACTCTCTACACTAACCATCGCTACATCTACCCCATAATCGTGATGCATCATAATCAGCCGCAAGATCCAGTACCTTCGTAAACTCGTCTACGTAACCGTTACCGTCATCAGTGAGTTTTACCGACACGATCGAGTTCATACCGTCAACTTCGGCAACAGAGACACAGTTTCAGCGATGCACTATCAGTTTCGATAGGTATTTACTCAGTCAATAATTCCACAAGCCTTGTGGCAAGGCGATACTTAATAAGTATTACTTATGCATGGTTTGGGCGAGGCGACACAGACAGCTACAAGTTGTCATTACTGAATCTATAGTGCGATCGGCTGTTTAGATTGCACAGCTATGCCTGATCCGAATCCAAATGGAGCTGTTCAACGATCCAACCCGGGGTGGGTTCAATTTACGAACAGGACTCTCCACGAGATAGCCTCTTTTATCACAACCAACTGTGGTGGGTCTCGCAAATGAACACCAAAATGGGGGAGCTGGCACTCCCTTCACGTCTTTGCCTGGTGTATTAAGCAAAACACAAACTGTTACTCTTTCTATTCCACTACGCTATCTGCCAGCTCGGGC